TCATACCTTTTGCGGTAGTGTACTTCTACACCGCCCCAATCAGGTACTCCCTTTCCATAATAGCCATGGAGTCCCTTCTAATTCATCGCCTGTTTTTGCTGACCCTCCGCACTGCGACCAAGTGCTGCCAAAAGAGAGAGCCCGCCAATCAGAGTACACCGCCTATAGGCTCAATGTTCTATCCCACACTCGAGCTAGCCTTACCCCCAACCCAAGCAGGGGCAATCTTGATCATCTTAACAACATCTGGTGCACTAGGATTCGATCTTTGGTTGCAGTTACACCTCAATACTTAATGCACGCCCTCCATGGTAATACCACCACAAGTCCCAGAGTCATCTCCCTGAGCGAAGCCCTACAACCCGATCCTCTTACCATGGCACCCGAGTTCCCCATGAACCTTATCAAAATCTCTAGATCAGCACTCCTAAAACTTAGGCCAGCAAAGGACCCCACAAGCAGCTTCAGTGAATCAGTTAGCACCCCCCCGACAACCCAAAGCATCTCCAGAATTCACCATAGAACCGGTCGCCGCAAATGTGGCTACACCGCCTTAGGCACTAAATACTTCTACACTAGCAAAAATAAAAGGACTTCAGTGCCCCCTAAAAGGTTCCGGCACCTCCGTCCTAAAGTGTCACAGGTACAGTCTAATTCAGCTAATTCACCTAATTCATTACACCAAGCTGTAAAGCCGCCTCCGCCTCAACGAGGCACGCCGGGAGTTGCTACGGCAACAGTCGAAGAGAGTACACCCCACTCCCCTCCTCCCTCTTCCCTTTTAGGCTGGGGTGCCCGAGCTCGTGCGTCACGTAGGCGATTCTATCGCCAGTGGCGGCGACTCGCTAGGGAAAACATACTACCGGAGCGCTTGGGTAACGCGTCGGTAAGAGGAGGGGATCCCTTGAAAGCAGTCAACCAATGTAGGCTCAAGGGTATACGCAACGCTACCGCGTTCCGTAACCTAGTCCTCAAGCAGACGTCACTATGTTCTCGGCGCCAACCTATACAACGCCCCCAGGCTACACCGCAACTTAGCTATGGGACCAGGCTTAGGATAGGCACCCAGAACGTACAGGGCATGATGGAAATACTCAAACACCAATCCGTCCTCCAACTTATTAAGGATACCCAGTTAGACCTGATATTTCTAACGGAAACCCACGCAAAATCCTACTACGCCTTCCACTCACAATCTTTTTGTAGTTAACGGCAACAACAAAGATAAGTGGTCAGGGGTAACGGCCGTGATTACACCGCACCTGCAACCCTACATTAAACAGGTCATCCAACACACCTCCCGCATCCTTCAAATCACCCTTTCAGTATCGTCAGGGGATATACATTTCATCGGAGTCTATGTTCCCCATGATAAGTCGGACGTTGAAACCCGAAAGGACCCCTTTTGGCAGAAGCTAGAGCACGTCGTATCAGGAATACCTTTACCTGAGCCATATTACATAATCGGGGATTTCAATGTTCGCCTTCAGGGCAGAAGCAAGCAGGAACACGACCAGCTTGGCCCCCACATATATGGTAAAGGCTTCCTACACGCTAATACCCAACCTCAGTCAAACCGCACCTACTACCTTAACTTCCTACAATCAGAAGCTGCAATTGACGCCCTTACCTTTAAGCAACCCAACCCCCTGAAACATGTTACATATCGAGATAAATACCCCCCACCTCAAACGTCGGAACAATTCGTTCTGGACCCCCTAATTATGCTTCAGGTTTGGGATAAAATACAATCCCTTCCCGCCACCCCAGAAGCCGCTTTAGAGATTGCGTTCAATATTCGCAACTTCATCGGCCTTGACTACACCGCCCCCCAACACCTGGCTACACCGCAAGTAGACCCTCTCAGATTCCAAAACTTAGACAAGTTAGTCACACGTAAGAAGTGGCTCCCCACAGTCTTAAGGCTGGAATCTAAACTACACACGGGCTTTCCCAGCGATCATTATCTACTACAGGCAGACATCAAGGTCAAGCTCGGCGCAAAAAAGCATCCGCCCCCGCGCCCCCCCAAGTTCGACTACACCGCCACCCCACAAAATAAACAACATTTCAACGCAGTTTTTAGACAACAAATGGGACTACAGCCTCAGGCCGCCGCAAAGACCACGCTTAAAAAAGTACAGGTTTACACAGACGGCTCGGGATCCTCAGGCCGGTGTACCGCGAGTACCCCCGCTGGTTGGGGATTTGTGCTCATAGACAACGACATTCCAGTTCATCAGGCTAGGGGCCCGGTTACCACGGACCCCCGCTGCCTTTACTACTTAGGGGCCGCCGTAGGCAGCAACAACACCGGAGAACTCACAGCGTGGATAGAGGCCGCCCTCTATCTTCTCCAGGCTACACCGCATGAATCAGTCACTTTTATCTACGATAGTCAATGGGTCCACGGCATGGTCACTGGAAAATATAAACCTAAACGGCACAAAACACTGGTCTACCTTTCCAAAAAAATCTATCACCAATTACAAGCCAACACCAAGGTACACTGGCAGTGGGTAAAGGGGCACTCAGGAGAGGAATACAATGAACTAGCTGATGAGCTCGCAGGTAAAGGCAAAGCAGATGGCCAATGGGTCGGCGGCCGCAACAGCCAACAAACCCCATTAACGCCCTCCACACTCCCCGAGGACCAGCGCACTACAGCCTCTACGTCGTTGGACGCACACAACGCCAAACTGGTCAACGCCCTCAAAACCGCAGAACAGGCCGCCTTTCAGCCGCTAAGATACGCGCCCAAAGCCGAATGGATCACTCCGCAACTCGCGGAAGAACTACACAAAAACAAGCGCCTCAGACAAAACCACAGCCAAGAGGCTTTCGCGCACCACCGCCAGCTCAAGAATATGGCACGCAAGCTCAAAAGACAATGGGTCAGAACGCAACTTACCCAATCACAGAAAGTTTCCGCAAAGCATTTCTGGTCTACCATCCGCAAACTCAAATCAGGTTTCAGAGAGCGCAAAACGCGCCTCAAAGTCGACGGTAAACCTGTTCCCTGGTCACAACAACACGAAGCATTTGCCAAATTCCTTTCGGAAACCCAATGGGCCCCATCCGAAGTCACGGCAGAGGAAAGACAACTCCTTAAGGACTCTCCCCCGCTACACCCCCCTCCCCAGGCTACACCGCAGCTCTTCTCTATGGAAGAATTATCAACAGTTATACAAAACCTCAAAAAAGAGAAGGCACCGGGCCCCGACGGAATAAAAAACGAGGCCATACTCCTCCTAGATTACATTGGAGAGCAGGAAATCCTAGCCCTCATGAATCGTTGTATCACGGAAAGAAAGGTCCCCCAGGATTGGAAAGACGCGTTCGTGGTCAGTATTTACAAGGGCAAGGGTCATGACTCTGATCCTGCCAACTACAGACCTATCGCCCTTCTCAGTACATTATATAAAATTTACGCCGCGCTACTTCAGAAACGTTTAGCCAAAGCCCACGACCACCATCTACGAGGCACACAGTATGGCTTCCGAGTACACCGTTCTACTAATGACCCCTTGTTTATACTACGCCGGCTACAAGACTACTCATTAAAAACAGGCCGTAGCTTCCAACTTCTATTTTTAGATTGGCGTATGGCTTTCGACAAAGTAGATCATGAATCCATGATTACAGCCCTAGAACGCCTGGGAGTACACCGCCAGTACGTAGAAATTATAACTGACCTTTACACAGACCAGATCTTTCATACAAAGGGGAGATTAGGAGAAACTAAACAGGCTACACCGCACACAGGCATTCGCCAAGGATGCCCTCTTAGTCCATATCTGTTCATCATGGTAATGACAGTCCTATTTCATGATGTTGATACGCGCTTGCGCACACACGGCGTCCCCACCAATACCTGGTCTATAGGAAAGCCCATTTACGACTTAGAGTACGCGGATGACACCCTCCTAATGGGAGTCACCACAGAACAAACCAATGAATTCCTTAGAGCATTACAGGTAGAAGCTACGCTTTACGGTATGCTCCTTAACCCCACGAAAACAGAACACCTTCCCCACCCTCAGGCTACACCGCAAACCCTTCAGTTTGCAAATGGAGACCTAGTCCCACAAACGGATACCTCTAAATATCTAGGCACCAAAGTTTCATGGGACGCACCTACTAAAACAGCCATCGAAGATCGAAAAACCAAGGGTCACACCGCATACATGAAGCTCCAACAGCTGTGGCGAAGTAAACTTAACACTCGCGCCAAGGTTAGAATCTTCCATTCCACTATTGTCCCCTCCCTAATTTATAGCCTAGACACGCTCACCCTCGAACTTAGGCACTTTAAAACCATAGACGGCTGGTACCATAAATACCTTCGCCGCTGTATAGGTGTTAAAGCATCATACTTCTCGCATGTTAGTAATAGAAGAGTATGGGTTTTTGCTGGTCGACCGAAGTTGCCCTCCCAAATCCTTCTCGAACAACAAATCCAAAGGCTCTGCAAGCTCCTGGCTACACCGCCCGATAACCCCCTACACCACGTAGTCTTCTCCCCCGGATATAAGGATAGAATCAAGTTTACCAAGTCTGCCCGCAGAGGACACCCCCAGCGATACTGGCTAGAGCAAGTTGCGGAATGGACCCTACCAGTATTCCAAGCCCACCTCGACCACACCGCCCAAGACAGCAGAAGAGACTTATTAGGACTGAAACAGTACCTACAGCTACACCCCGAATACAGCCTACAATTGGAGACTGCGCCGACGCGCTCGCCTGCTTTGTTCAAAAGACACGTTACCCTTGGATGCGCATGGCAACCGAAAAAAAAAAAAAGCCCTAAGCCTAAACCTTATGTGGATATCTTGCGGGACTTGTCGCGGGATGTTCTTTGTTTTCAGTCTATGAGCCAGTGTATGCCCTTGCGGCGGGCTCGCCCTACTCTCGTGCGGAGCAGAAAGAGCCATTGCACTTAAAACAAAATAGCCCCTGAACCCTAAACCCTACCCTAAACCCTACCAAGAGCCCGGAAGGACGTGGCCTTCAGGCCCGGGCATCCAGACTGCTGGCAGGAGGAGGCCCGGCCCAGACCGCGGCTTGTAGACGTCGGGCTTAAAACTTCGGGTTTTGGAGCTTGGGGCTTAGGGCTTCGGGTTTTGGGGCTTGGGGTTTAGGGTTTAGGGTAGAAGCTTGACGAACGACTTATGCTATTCCATCAATCAGGTTCCTCGTTGTCACCACACTATAGCATACATCGGAACCGTGTCCAAGCTAGAAGGCCTCGTCTACGGAAGGTTTAGGGCTTCAGCAAAGCTTAAGCTCAGGGCCTGGGGTTCCAGAGTTCAGGGTTTAGGGTTTAGGGGATAACTTTCGGTTTAGGGTTCCGGGGTTTAGGGCTGCAGGTTAGGTTGGCATCCAGGGCTGAGGGTTGGGCTGGGAACTCCTTAGAGTCCGAAGCACTAGCGCGGGGAGTCCGAAACACTTTCGGATTTTAGGGGTAAAGGGTTTGGGGTTTAGGGTTTAGGGTTCAGGGTCTAAGGTTTAGGGTTTCACCTCGGGATACATTGGTGCTGTATGTAGGGCTCAGGATTCAGGGCTCACTTGTTAGCCAAATGGCTCCCTAGCCTGTCAATTCCGAGTGTTGGACGACATCTTTGCAGTTGATGGACAAGCCCCAAGTCTGCGGTGCCTGAAGGATTCTTATCGATGGGATTATGGTATCATCCTCTATGGTGAATCACGCAGAGTTTCGACGACCGTCAGCGTATCAGTGATCCCCAGTGATCCCGTATCCGTATGCTCTTACGAAGCCGTGCGCCCTAAATACCTGAGTCCCTGCGGCCTGCACGCTCAAGCATAAGCCCCAAACCTAACCTCAGGGCTTCACCTTCAACCGCTGCTGCTTCGCTGTGGAGAACCAATCCTTGCGCGCTCGGCGCAAGGCGGGCCGTAGTGGCGGAGGGCTGTAACCCAAAAAAAGTATTTGGAACCGAACAATATATTGCAAGGTGCGTTTTCGATGTTTGTTTTTTTTGGGGTGTTTGCAGGTTTCAGAGGGCTTTGGGATGCTTGGTTTAGGTCAGGTCGAATTCGAAGTCTTGGAGCAAACCCAAAAATACTCCTTGAACCTTAGACTCCGAACCCCAAGCCCCAACCCATCAAGCTCTACCCTCCCCAGAACCCACACTCGACAGCCCCATGTATAACATTTTTTACAGCCATATGGGAGTTTCCGAAAATAGAGGACCCTAATATAGTACCCTAAATAGTAGGATCCTTATTACAAGGACCCCCCCAATTTTCGGAAACTCCCATATAGAACCCTATTCCGGTGATTGGGCCCTTGTTTGACCCTAAACCCTAAACCCTAAACCCGAAACCCGAAACCCTAAACCCTAAACCCTAAACCCTAAACCCGAAACCCAAGGTCAGGCGGCGTGGAGAGCCCAGCTGCTGGCAGAATGGCGGTGCCTTCGGCAAGTGAGGGTTTAGGGCTCTTCGGCTCTCGGGCTCTTTAAAGGGAGCTCTCTATGGGGTTCCTAAAAAGGCCCCTTAAAGGGATCTATAGGGTTCCTTAAAGGGACATCGGCTCTACTTGGAGGATCATGGGACTTAGTAAGTAAGGTTATAAGTACCTTAATTGGGGTTATAAGCATAGTTACCCCAATTATAACCATAGTTACTAAGTCCCATGATCCTTTAAGTAGGGTTTTTTGGGCCATCGGTATATGTGTGATATTGGTTTAGGTTTTAATTTTAGGGCTCAAAGCTTTTGCAAGTTTCAGCTTACAGTGTAGGTACCGCATCCTCTTGGGAATAAATCCTGAACCCCCGAGGCTGCAGCCTGTCACCCAAGAAGCCAATCCTCTTGCGGCCCCAAACCCTTCCAAGCCCCTCAGCTGGTTTTCGGGTTTAGGAGTTTAGGGTTTAAGCCTTAATCCCGACGACATTCAACCTTGACCCTTTCCCCAACAAAATCACTCTTGGCCTGTACCCTAAATCTACAAACCACTCAGCACTAAGCCCTCAGCTGCCTTAGCTCTTCTCCCTTCTTTCTCCTTAACCCTAAGCCATACCCTATAATCTATAACCCTAAAGCCTTAAAGCACTGAACCCTAAACCCTAAGCCCCAAACCCTAGACCCTAAACCCTAAGCCCTGAACCCTAGAAGCCCTAAACCCTAAACCCTAACCCTAACAGCTACGTATTTTTCACGGCTCCCCCTTCCGGTCCGAGGCCGGACCTTTGACAGATGCTGCGGCTCGCAGGCGCTGGTTGCGCAGGCCCCCCGGGGACCCCAAAAGTGTCGGAGATCTTTAGGGTTTAGGGTTTGGGGTTGTAGGGGAGGATGTCGGAGATCTTTCGGGTTTAGGGTTAAGGTTTAGGGGAAGATGTCTGAGATCTTTGGGGTTCAGGATTAAGGGTTTAGGAGAGATGTCTGAGATCTGCGGGGGTTGGGTTTGCAACCGGGCTTGCATTGTCATGGAAAGCTTGTTTCTGCAATGGTTTTGTTGGGCTTCGTGTTGCGGGTTTTGGCTTTTGGGGGTATTTGCAGGTTTTGTTATAGGGCTTACATTGTAGTTTTGCATCGCAGCTTGCGTAGGAGTTTGTATGGTCGTGTACAGTCATCATGTTGTGTACTATATACCGCTGACTATTGTGCCCAAGCCCTCTGAGTAAAAGAGTCTTAGCTCGCTCATGGCTTAACGGTTTTGGTGTATTCTATAGGTTATCAGCCGTATTCGCTGACTTTGTCTCCGTGGTATTCTTACACTGGTATTCGCATTGGTACATGAGCACTTCGCCCTCTCTGCTCACTACTGAGAAGGGAGAAACAACCGAAGTATCATCGGACGAGATGGACGACGAAACAAGAGATCGACTGCTTGATGAACAACTTATAGCAGCTGGCGCGGGCCCTACGGCACCGAGCTCAGGATCCCAAGCACTCGATAGGATCTTCGGTCCAGTGGGTCCTACCCTATCTCCATTTGTCTCAAATCCAACGGTCGACATCTCAAACGTACAGTATACCTTGTACAATGTTGTGAACCAGGGTGAAACAGCTGAACAACAAAGAATGGCAATAGAGCGAACGGAGGCAGATGCTGAAAGAAGACACGCAAGCATTCTGAACCAACAATCGCATGATAATCTTGTGAGAATGGCTGGCATGGCTGAACAGGCCGAGCGCCTTCATGAGGTGAAGATGGCAGAATGCGAAGCACAGTTTGCGGAATTTGAGTTCAACGCATCCCAAAGGGAAAAGTTTTTGTTGAACGAAGTTGCAACATGCAGAAATGAAATGAACATTCTGGAATCAATTTTCCAACAACGACATCAGTCGGAAATCGCTAAGCTCAGAACTACTCTGATTGCTGAGAGCGAACGCAACAAAGCACAACATCTTGATTTTCTTGGAATGCGATTCAAACAAGTTCTTGAAGAAACCGAAGCGAGTATGGAACGACGTTTCATTACTGAAATCGCTGAAATGAGTGCGCAAAACGACAGACTGCAGGATGAACTGGCTGCCGCAGAACGAGCCCTAAGAATGGAAGCCAATGCGGACGAAGCGGGCAAACAATATGCCACGCCGAAGCCAGGACCTAATCCTGCTGTCCCGTTCTCAAATCCATTTGAGATTCCCGAGAATATGAAGGACATCTTCGGAAGAACGCCGCAAGCTCAGGAACCTCCGCAAGGAACTTCTGTACCACCTGGGTTTGAGAACAGAGAGCCACAAAAGGAAAAGTCTCCTAAAGCTGCCCAAGCGGGTAAGCCGGCGACTGTTGATCCAGAAGGGGTTCCAACTGTTGATTTCGGAGCTGAGGCATTGATTAGGGCAGCTCGCTTGCTTACCCCTAAGACCGAAGATGAAGAGGGCAAACCAAAGGTGAAAGAAGCCGAAAGTATCAAGCTTCCCGATTACCCTAATCCAGAGACCTACCGATCATGGCGGATCTCGGTCCGCGAGATTGTGCGGGCTGCGAGCGATCGCCCGGATGAGGCATTTCGCTGGGTGCAGGAAGTATATGATAAAGAGGCTACCCTCAAGTCCTTACACGACACTGGGAAATTCTTAACATTGGACACGAAGTTGTTGGCTGCACTTACCAGAGTCGCTAGAGGAGAGATTTCAAGGCAAGTTCTAAACTTCAAAGAAACAGAGGCCACAGGAGGACGTGCCGTCAGGGGAAGACAAGTGTTGTGGATGTTTCATCAACACTTTAAGACTAATGAAGAAGTCGGAAGCCTCTATAGCGTAGAAGACCTTCTAAAAGTGAAGTTGGTTGGGGACGATTTGGCTACCTTCCTTTACAACTTCGAGTCGGTGATTGCTGGAATGAGTCATGTTCCGGATGAAGTTACCTTGAGGGACATTTTGCTGAGGGAAATTCGGAAATCCCACCACATCAAGTACGATCTTCAGTTGTACGACAGGGCAAAGGAAGGAAACCCCATACACACGTATGAATTCCTTGTCAATGCCATTAGGGAGCATCTGACTAGAGAGCGTATGCGTAAGAATCGTGACCGCATCGCTAAGTCGCATGGCGATAGATACGGAGCCCCAGCGTACGGATCTGAACGTCGCCCCTCTTCACGAGGAGGCCGTGGAAGAAGCATGTCCCGAAGTAGCTCAAAATCCAGAACAAGCAGCAAAGGATCGAGCCAACGAACACCGCCTAGATCTCAGAGTCCCAAAACGCAACAGGTTTGTTACGACTTCCAGAAAGGAAAATGCACAAGAGGCGACAAGTGTAAGTTTCTCCACAAACCAAAGTCAAGATCCCCAAGTCCTCATCGAACGCCTCAGAAGAAGATCAACGCGATTTGCACCTTTTGGAAGAAAGGCAAGTGCAACAAAGGCAAAGACTGTAGGTTCCTGCATCAAGATAAGCCCAATCCAACTGACGCCGCTCCTACCGAGCAGGCCGCCCCTGCGAAGAACGATGAAAAGCCTAGGAGCCCGACCCCGGATCCTAAAGCAAAGAAGGAAAAGAAACAAAGGGGCAGGTCCAAGAGCAAGGAAAAGTCTGGCGGACGCACGGCAGCTTGTTGCATTTCGTATGCGCTGGCAGCTGTGCCCAATGGGCAAGGCGTTAAGGGTGATGCTCCAGGAACGTTCAAGAAATTAAGGTTCAAGGAGAAGCCAAGCATTCGGGAGATTCCATTGGATGGTAAGGGTAAGAAGCATAGGACCAAACCGCGAACTTTCGAAGTTTGTTACTTGGATGCTGAAAGCTGCCCAAAGCCTCCAGTTCAGGACCTAAGCACGGCCATAAGAACAGCGAACGAGCTTGCCAGGATCATGTCCTGTATGCTCAATGGGATTGAAAGCCACTGTGAGTACGAGTGCACAGATGACTGCGAAGAGGGTGAGATCCCAGTTGCAGTGTTGAAGTGCGAGCTGTGTTCTAGCGTGGAAAGAACAGCATGCTCTAGCTTTAATGCGGGATTAGAATTCCTCGCCGATACTGGCAGTGAAGAAGATCTGATCAGTAGGCACGATCACTCTATCTACTACCCAGAAGCTCCCATCGAAAACGCTAGTAGGCCGGTCAACCTGATTACAGCTAATGGTCCAGTTCAGGGAATCAAGTCAACCAACATCCCGATGCCTGAACTGAAGCAAAACATTGAGTGCTATCTACTGGAAAGCACGCCACCGGTTTGTTCTGTTGGGAGAAGATGCATGGACGATGGATATGATTTCCATTGGCCTGCGGGCAAGGTTCCATACTTTATAGCTCCCGATGGTAAAGTCATCAAGTGTAAGATGAAGGGTAGAGTCCCAGTGATCTCAAATGATGACTCGGTAGCGAGCCCAGCAAGCGCTGATGATTCCCAGAAATCTGCTGGAACTCAGGTGTTTAACGCCGGTACAGTCAAGGTTGAACTGGCGGCACCTGCGGAGGACGAGTCTTCGGGTTTCCAGTAGAAAGCCGTCCGAGAGGACCGGCCGGGGATGAAAGAGTCGTCCACAGCGACTCCGAGATAGAAGAAGCAATCAATGCTGCACCGCCAATTGCAATCAAGCCTAAAGATTTAGCCAAGCCAGGTTGGATCACTAGCAGTGAAATTGCCGCATCAAAGATCATTATTGGTCATCGGCCAAAGGCTCTGCGAGTACCTGCACCTCGTCATCCAAGGTTCGTGCTAAGGACCACTTGGATCTACAAGGACTCTGCTTGGAGCAAGATTGAGGATTCTGTTGACATCAGAAGTCTAAGGGTTAAAAATCAAAAGATTGATGGATCGCCAATTCTGTCGATTACTGCTTTCAAAAGACCCGAGGACGACCCCTTAATCGAGCCCGATAGTGACAAGGAAGAAGATGAGGGAAAGGAAATCTCGCAAGAAGCCCGGCTTCGCGCCGAGGCCGAAAGCATCCATCATCAATTCTGCCATCGTCCTAAGAACCCATTCTGCAAAGTGTGCCAAAAGGCGAAGATGCTATCTCCCCAAGCTCGAAGAAAGGGGGGGTCTTCGACCATACACAGTGAAAAGTATGGGGATCATGTTACCATTGATCATCTCGTGACAAGAGATCTGAGGGACTTTGGATTTCAGGATGAGAGGGTGGCGCTTGTTATCAAAGATGTGTTTTCGCAATTTAGGTATGTGTATCCTAGCGCAACAAAATCAACGGAACAAGTGCATGAGGACCTTCTGCACTTTTTCGGTACGCAAGACGAAGTTGGGGTTATTTACTCTGACAACGCGCCGGAGTTGGGAGCAGCTGTGAAGGAACTCCGATGTAGGCACAACACCTCTAGAGAGTACGTGGATGAAACTAAGGCCGTCATCGAACGGGAAATCCGCACCGTACTAGAGGGTACGCGCTCGAACTTGGAGCAAGCCGGTCTTCCAGAACGGTTTTGGCCTTTAGCAGCTCAGCACCACTCCATTGCGCTCAATCTCACAAAACGAGTGGATACTGGTGAAATCCCATGGGAGGCACGCTTTGGGGAATCCTTTGCGGGATTGATTGTTCCTTTCGGAGCTAAGGTCTTGTATTGGCATAACCCTAAACAGAATGTTCCGGAGACTTCCAAGTTTTCGTCAACTGGGGTTGAAGGGATCTTCCTGGGATACCATATCCAACCAGGGTTTGTTTGGAAGAAGGAGTATTTGATTGCACCCGTGAAAGACGCACAGTTTGCCATTGAGGACGGAAACCTCAAGGTCATCAGGGCTAAGCGCGTTGAGTTGATTGAGGGGAGTTTTGAGTTCCCACTTCAATCGGGAAGGATCAAGGATCGCGAGGCACACGAGG